TTGAATTGATCAATTTTATTGACAATTGTGTATAAAGCCTTCTTTGTTATACATCCTTTATGTTTTTTAATCTATTGTTGTTGTATGAATAAAGAAAAAGCCTCCAATATGCTTGTAGAGTTAGGATCAAAATACATACCTTATCTTCCACTTATAACTCTACTTTCAACTCTACTACAAGCATCAATTGAAGTAATATTCAAAGTTCTTCATTTCATTCTCTTACCTTTTTTCTCCATAATTCAAATAAACCAAAAAATCCAAATATATTCTACCTCAAGAATTTCATGTCAAGTTTATTAAATATGTTGTATTATGTGAATTCTTACTCAAAAATGCATCAGGTACCTAGTTGTGGAAAGTAAATAGAAAATGAAACAATAAGATCCTATCAAATCTAATAGAATCTTAAATAAATTTTAAGTAATCTTTAACAATCTTTATCAAATCTTAACTAATTCAAAAGAAATTTAAAAAAAATTATAAAAAAAAAATTCAAAAAGTCATAATTTTTTTAAAAAAAATAATAAAAAAATTCTAAAAAAATATAAAAATAAAAACCTCAAAGAAATATCAATGTATTTTTTAAAATATTATAAATTTAAATCTTTAAAAAATGATAAAAAACCTTAAATAAATATTAAAAATAAAAATCTTAAATAAATTTTAATTAAATCTAAGATAAATCCTAACTAAATCTTAATATAGCTGTAATCAAATCTTAATAAAATTCTAAATCTTAGATCAAATTCTAATAAAATCTTAATCAAATTTTAATCAAATTTTAATCAAATCTTAATCAAATCTTAATCAAATTCTAATCAAATTCTAAATTTTAATCAAACCTTCATCAAATCTTAATCAAATCTTAAATCAAATTATAAAAAATTCTAAATAAGTCTTAATTAAAAATTATCGTTATTTTAAAACTTCAATAAATATTAATTAAATTTTTTATCTTAATTAAAATTTTATACACATCTCAATCCATAAGCAATTAATAAGCATACAAATTTTAAAGAAAATCAATTCATCAATTCAAAAGAAAAAGCTCTTAAACCACTCAAATGTTAGTTGCCTTCCTTTTCCAACCTAGATGTTGATAATCTAATAGAAATTTTTCTTTATTGAGTTGTTTAATTTCTTCAAACTTAGCTGGTATCAGGAATTCTAAGTCTAAATAGCTTTCACCAATTTTTTTTTAATCAAACTAGTTAATGTTGTAAAATTACAAAAATCCTCACTAATCCTAAATTTCAATTATTTAAGACCATAATCCATAAAAAATTTCATAACTACTAATCTAATCATTTGATTAATATCAAATTTTTTAAAAAATATAATAACAAATTGATAAAATTTTCCTTGTAAATATGCTATAATACTCACAAAATCTTTAAAACTATGATTTTTTATTTATTTTTAAATCTAAACCCATTGAAGACATCTCTCATTTTGAAAAGCCCTTCAAACCACATAAAATCAACTCTTAAAAATCTATTCACAAGTCTTCTTTCAAATCCTATTCTCCAATCAACCAAAAAACGTCAAAGTCGCCATAGGTGTGCAGTTTTGTACCTCAAGGTCTAATTTCAACCTTAATTCAGAACTAGTCCTCTATAAATATCAATTCTTGATATTTTGAAGAATTTTTTGCTAAACTTATTCTTAACTTTTTCTTAAAAATATTTATATTAATTATTTATTTTATTTATTAATATTTGACTTATTTATGATTCAATTAAATAAGTAGAAATCTCTTTTACAAAAAGATAGTATTAGTACTTATTAATTTTTACTACTTCCTTATTTATTATCTGTAATTTTAAAATAATTTGATAAAATATTTTTATTTAAGTTCTTTTATAAAAAAAAATAATAAAAAAAAACTTTTATCTAATAGTCATATTATTACATGATACTGGAGTTTATATGATCCATTTTTTATTCCACATGGCTCTCCTTAAAGCATATAAGTTAGTGAATATCTAGAGAAGAAGACAAATGCCACCTCCTCTTCTAGAAGTAGATAATAATAATAAAATAAATCAAGGTAAAAGAAGTCTTAGATTCAAGGCAACACCAAAATAGGTTAAAATATTTTGTTCATTGGAACTTATATGATATTAATAAACATACATAAGAGCCAATAAAAAATCTTGCAAATATAAAAAAAAAAAATAAAAAAAAATGATGATTTTCATCAATGACATCTATCAAAATCAAGAAGAAGAATAGCAAATCTTTGCTATAAAAGAAAAAAAATGCAATTAATATAAAATTCTACTTTCTATCTTTATTTGTAATTTTTGTATATTTGTTGTACTAAAAAAATGGAGAACCAAAAATTAGTAAATTCAATTCAAAAGCTATCATTTTTTCACTTACAAAATGAGACATTGTAATTATCACAACCTTCAAGATAATGTAATATAAATGAAGATCCTCTAAAATAATATATATTTTTTTAAATAGATGACAAGATACAATGCATTTAATATCACAATCTTAGAAGAGGCTTTCAATATTTGGTGATTTTATTGGAGGTAGGAACAACTCTTAATAGAGTTTCAAGTATTTTATTTGAAGGGCATTATCTATATCTTCACATCTAAATAGCTTGTGATACAAGCTAATAATATGGTGTGCATATAAAAAACTTACCTTATAAATTAACACACTTGTCTTGAAAATTAGACATGTATTAAAGATCTTATAGAATGTTGCCATGTAGCTCCTAGTTAGATGGTATATATGGAAGTAGGAATGAAATATTCTTTTCTTTTATCAATACCTTTCTAGTCTTTAGTCTCGTTTCAAGACTTTTTAGTCTTCTTGTCTTTGGCAATAGCTACTTTAGTTTAATATTATACTATCTTTGAGTGATTTTCCATTCTATTTAAGTGACATAAGAATTTTTTGATTTTTTAATTTTTTGAAATTTATGTCTTTGATAACTAGTAAAATTAAATTACTTAATATATAAAATATTATATATATATATATATATATATATATATTAAATCAATCCATCTTTACTCTTACCATTTTGTACCACATTATATTTTTTTCACCAAGCCAAAGATCATTCTTTTTTTACTAATCTCTCAATTTTGCATCTCTAAAGTTCTTTTTTCCATTCTTAATTGTATTTAATCTTAAATGGCTGGATCAATTGAGATTTTTTCTTTTTTCTTTTTTCTCTTTTAATTAAGGAGAGTGAAATGTTGACATTGAATGAATTTGCAAGGTAGTCAAGTTGATAAGAACGAAAATGGATCAATTTAAGATTTATATGGATTGATTTAATATTTTTCTATTTAATATTGAAGTTGGGGACAAAGAGAGGAGATTTAATATTCCTCTATCTACACACAACATTCTCAAGTCCAAGAAAATTTCCAGATGTGGATAAGGGGCATTGCCACAAGAGCTATGTCCTTGTCAACTGAGATCCTCCCTTTGGGGTGCAACTACACCAGAAGAAAAAAACTGGCAAGTCCACTTAGCCCTTCAGCTCCTTTCCATTCACAAATTCCTGCATCACAAATTCCTGTGCTAATAGAGTAGGAATGCTTGGCCAAGCTTCAACTCTGCCAAGGGATGGGAGATAAAGGATGCAAACTGGTATTTTCGCAGCTTCGGGAGGATTGCACAATAGTCAAGATACGGTCACGATTGGATCCTCAATATCTGGATCAGGAAACATTTCGAAGTAGTACGGGATGGCAACACTCCACATGCGATAAAAAGCAGAGTAAGAGAATGACCAGATGCAAAATGCAGTGGCCCAGTGGACGAAAGAAGCTCTAGAGTCACAGTGGAGCGAGTGAGGGAGGTGCATCATTACTGCATCATAGGGAGTGTTACTTGGTGGAAAAGGAACCCACCTCCAATGACATGATCTGGGACTTGAGTTCCTGTCCCATGTCAAGGTCCACTTCTACCAAGAATGTTGGCTACGTCATCTTTAAATTGACGTGATCTCACGTGCTAATATTTGTGCTCTTCATCTTAACTTTGCATTGCAGTCTCAACCTCCTCGAGTTGACCTAAGAAGTTTTAGAGCAACTTTTGTAACCTTTGCAACTCGGCCATTATCACGAAACAAGGCTCTTCTTCATTACCACCTCCTCTGAAAGCAAGGACCATCAAGTGCATTCGCCATACCTTTAAAGCAGGCTGGGAACTCGGAATGGTTACGGAGCAGAAACTTTATAAACTGCATATGTGGGCATATCGCTAGAGAACGTCGAAAGCAATCACACAAATGCATAGTAATTTCCACGCAGTGATTTGCTTCATAACAGGATAAAAAGGACCTGTTACAATACAAGCAACACGACAAACCACGACCTACCTTACTAAAACCCTTCTTGAGGCGCTCACTACTGTTCCACGAGTAGGACGAAAATCGTGGCACAATTATATCAACAAAAAAGACGAAAAGCTTGACTACAGAAGGCGAGGATTAATTCAATAGTTCACATTTCTCCAAGCTCCTCATACAGCATTCCAACAACGAGATCACAACCTTCACAAAAACCTACACAAATGAACCGAAACAATTGACATGCATCGACAGTACACAATGTTAAGAAAATCAAACATAAAAATGAAAACAAAAGTGACGTTCCCAATCATCGAATCGCACTGAAAGAAGCTGGAATGCCGACACCAATTTCGAAGGAAATGAAATTTGAATGGAATAGAATCCTGTGCCTCCAAAATCGATCCCTCTAGAAAGAGAACAGGCGTTCCCATCTTTGGAACTCGGGAACAAGGGAACATCGAAACCTCGTCTTCTCTAATTGGTAGACCAGACCTAAATGAAGTCGACATGCCAAAATGGAAGTCAAGGACAAGCGCCCATTCTGAGAAGGAGCAGATTACGGTGGAATTAGTCGTCATCTACCTTTTGATTGGGGAGTTTCCGTTTGGAACTGTCGTCGAGACTGAAAAGGACACAGCAGTGTTGTGTCATCTTGTGTGGGGCTGAAGTTGTGAAATCCGGAGCGCCATAACCATCCGACTTGACTCGTCTTCTGTCAAGGACAACTGCAACTACAGAGCTCACGCGCACTTGTTTTCACTTCTACGTCTGCGGTGAGTTCGTTAGGTTTTTGGAGGAATCGACCAGGTAGACGTAGCTACGAATTGGCATGTTGTGGTGCGGGACAGGGATCGGGCGATCGCGTGCACGGGGAGAACGCTGAGAGGCCTGGAGAGAGGGTTTTGCGTTGCGTTGCGTTGCTGCTTGGAGAACTATAGCTAGAGGAGGTACGGGCGCCTGGTGGTGATGGATGCGCGAGGTTTGAGGTTGCCGGGAGTATTTTTTGCAGCGAATTTAGAGCGGTCGCGATTGGGTTTGGGGTTGTGGTTGTTTTCTGGAGGGTCTTTGCGATATTGAGCATTTGACCTGATTTCATCGTAGGAAGCTGGATTGTCAGCTTCGTGTTTAAACTCAAGGATATTGATCCGTGAGAGACATTGAGGTAGTGGATACGGTTACGGAATTCAGTCTGAAGATAGCCAGTATTCGATGCATGTTGGAAGGGGGTAGATATATCTGCATTAAGTATGTGGCTTTGAAAACGACTTTTTCTTGTTGAAGGTATGAAATTCATCCTTCTTGTCAGGTTTAGATTCACGTACAGGCAATGGCGTGAGAGCAAGAGGAGAGTAGGGGTTTTAACTGTGGTCGCGTCACAGCGCTTTGTCAATTTGAAACTTGAAGTAATGCTACGGATGCGTTGTCTTCTGGTCGCGGAATGCACCTCGTTACCAAAAACATGGTCTCTTTATTATAATATATTTATTTGCCCTAGTACTGACCAGGAGAATTTTAATCGGATAAGAGAGCATTGTATATTTTGAGCTTGCGTTGTTCTTGCTTTAGAGCTCATGCGCTTCTTGGTGATGAATACAAGACAGACCTCTGAAAAGATGAAGAGGAGTCGATCGTACAGCGAGGGTGGGGGAGGTCAAGAGCTTAATATAGGAGTTAACTTGCACAACGGTAACGCTCTAATACAGCCGCGGGCAAGTGTGCCCTCAATGTCACATCCACAAACATCCCTTTCTCTGGCGTCTTCGGATGGTCGCGTGGGCACTGGGATTGAACCCGGCTGGGCTGGCAGTACGCAACTTCGCGAGTCGCCTACAGAAAGTGCCAGTTCTAGAGAGACATGGCCTACGGTAGGCGTGCAATTTTCAATATTATCTCTCTCCCAAACTCTTCGTCATTAATATTTAGAGAGCAGATTAATGATTATAAAGCTCAGGGTTAGCTGCGTTGGAACCTGCGGAAAATATGACAGTACATTTTAATGGAATGTTTATTTCTTACGTCCGTATACAAAGTTCTAAGTTTAGTAGGGAAGACCCCAAACCTTCTAACTATGTCCCTTAGGTAGAACATAGGTTCCACAAGTAGGATGGATAACTCTATTCCTGAAAGAAACGTAAGGCGATCTTCTTCTGTGGTCATGCCCTCAAAGTTGTCGGAAAAATAATTCCTTCTCATGCTTTAGTGGATCAAATGCCTCATAGCAACTTCAAATGATGTACTACAGCAAGGGATATCTCAGCAAGACATGACTGGAGGACAAGGACACAACGAAGAATTAGAAGACGGAGATGAAGAAGAAGCAGAGCAAAAGGTTGTTCAGCGAGTGAATACTTCCAACCGAATTCAGCCCCGAGATATCATACAGGAAGGTCTAGGTGTCATGGCTCAGCGTATGCGTGAGCAACCTGATGAATCTCTAGAGGAATTGAAGGTGAAGGCTTCCCTGCAGCAACTGCTGAATCTAATATTAATATACTAAGTCCATCCTTGTGATTTGCATAGCAGTCTGCCTTATGTATTTGAATGAGTTGCTACAGGGATCATGTTCCAGAATTATTGGTACTGAGGGAGGGCCCTAAACCTGTACTTTTCCATTGTGTATGCAATAATTAAGGTTGACAAAGTTAGGGTTCATTTATATCTTGTCAATGTGAGAATATTCTTCGCTTGTGTTGATATCCTATGTTGTCTTTGAGTTTTTTTTTTCTTTGCTGTTAGGTTGTGTATGCAGTTCTGAGTTGATCACCTCATTGGCTCTATGCAGCTGGTCTGCATCGAATTTCTAGTTGCTCTCCCTCATCGTATGGTAATTGCGTGCAGGCCGATGTGCGGGATATTCTTGGCAATTTAAATCGCAGAGAGGAATTTTCTCTTCTTCAGAGGCTGTTAACAGTGCGCCGTGATCTCAACCCTGAAAGTCTTATGCGGGCCCATAGAACTCAGCTTGAGATATTCGTTGCTCTTAAAACTGGAATATTGGCCTTTCTTCTTCCAGACATAAATGTGTTTCACACTGCATTAGTCGAAATTTTCTTCCACAAAACCTGCCGCAACATCTCTTGTCGAAGCCCGCTCCCAGCCAATGACTGCGCATGTGAATGTTGTAGGTCCATGACTGGTTTCTGTAACCAGTGCATGTGTGTGATGTGTAGCAAGTTTGATTTCGATGCAAACACGTTCCGGTGGCTGGGGTGCGATGTTTGTTCACACTGGACACATTCAGATTGTGCCATGAGAGGAGGAGCAATATCTATGGGTGTAAGTAATAAGGCAAGGTCTGACCGCGCCTCAAGCACTCCTGAATTGATTTTCCGATGTAGAGCTTGTGGAGGTGTTTCTGAACTTCTAGGCTGGGCCAAAGATGTATTTCAAAATTGCGCTTTGCGTTGGGAGAGAGACACTTTGGGGAAAGAGCTTGACTATGTACGAAGGATTTTCCACATCGCCGAGGACACGAAAGGGAAACATCTTTACTGGAAGTCGCAAGAGGTTTTAGATAAAATGAAGAATGGGCTTGACACAAGTTCTGCAATCAAGGTCATGCTGTGCTTTTTTCAAGGTGTGATAAATCTTATAATGTTCTATATTTCGTTAGCAAATTGAGCACTGTCGTTTTACTTTCTTGACCTTTTTGCTCCTCCCTTTGGATTATCGGTGTTCCATAGTTGCCTACTCGTTTTAGTTGTTGTGGAAAATTTTGGTCTGATATTAGTGACTCGTACAATGTAGCAGAGGCTGAGAATGCGGAGGTTAAAGACGTGGACAGAGATGATGTCAAAGTCCTCGACAGAAGAGAAGTTTGTGATCGTGTTGCTGAGGTTGTTCGAGAAGCCATTGCGAAAATAGAGGGTGTAGCTGAGGAAAAGGCTTTAATAGTAAAGAAGGCTCGATTGGCACTTGAATCATCAGAAAGAGAGCTTAAAGACAAGAAACAGGAGCTCGCGGACCTGCAGGTGTGCACCATATGACTTAATTCCCATGTGTTAATTATTTTTTGAATGAGGTTGGCAGTGGAGAAATGGGTATGAATACGATAAAAGGGCGCCGAGGTTTGGCTCTTTTCCGCGTTTGTATCATAGTTTGTTTCGATTTTCCGGCTTCTACGGCAGTCTCTCTTTATTCATTATATTCTCATGAACTCGCTTACGAGTTCTAGACGTCCAGAATCTGCTATTCTTGAAATATCCCGTTCTTAACTAACTTACGAAAGCGTCATAGATTTTATCATTCTGTAAAGTTAATCGAAATAATCCTTTGCTAACATTGTTACCATTGTATTAAGCGGATTAGACTAACTTACATGTTCTTGTTTGTTCGTACAGTACGAGAAACAGAGAAAGAAGCAACAAATTGAAGAGCTGGAGTCAATTGTGAGACTAAAGAGAGCAGAGGCAGATATGTTCCAGTTTAAATCTGACGAAGCCAAGAGAGAGGCCGAGGGCCTTCAGCGAATTGTGTCAGCTAAAGCAGAAAAGGTTGAAGAAGAATATGCAAGCAGGTAATTTTCAGACCATTTCCTACCGAAATGCTGATACGTATCAAATACCTGTTTCCGATGTGAAGAAATAGTCAGAAAATTACCTGTATTCAGTTTTGGATTGTAACTGAAACTTTAGTCTAGTTTCTTAGATTGCTGGAGTCAAAGAGGACTATTATTGCTCTGCTTGAATTACTCAGGTATTAACTTTTCCACGCTGCGTAGGGATTTTGTTGTTGATAATCCTTGATGCCATGACGATTGATATTTGTATGCTGATATATGGTGAAGGTATCTCAAGCTGCGCTTAGAAGAAGCAGAAGCTGAGCGTCGCCTGCTCTTTGATAAGCTCCAGGTCAGATGAAGTTACGCCTGCAAGTTTGTCACAGCTCTATTATCAATGTGTATTTTACTGGTTGTCTGTATCTCGAATATGATCCTTGCAAACCATGTGGCCATCTTCCTGTCCTCTTTGTGACGTTGGGAAGGTCTTGACATATAGGCATTCTGGTGAGAGCTGTGGAAATCCCCATTAGTTAGCTATTTAAGTGCCAGCAGACATGGCTATGTGTTCTAGTTACAGTTAGAATGTGAATAGATTCTCCGTGCGGAGCAGTAATCGATGTGTTCATCTGCTGTTTTGATCTGATGATTACCCTCTTGTCAGGAGCTCGTGAAGTGAATGAGAAGCAACAACATGTAATGTTGGTGGGTAATGGAATAGTGTTAAATATTATCTCGAGTGAAGACTAGCAGCAGTTGATGAACTGGGCGATACACTTAGGATTTCCTTCTATTAGTATTGATGGTCGATGACATGCTCCAGGGTCCAGATGCTATGCGCTTCCTGAAGGGATCAGATCCAACTCAGATGCTTCTTCTCAACAAGATCCATGGTTTATTTGAGAGAGTTGGTATGGTCTCCACTATGCCACCCGAGGGTCCATCTACTCCTGGGAATACTTCAAACGCAGGGTCGATGCGAAGTTTACCCTCGCCTTCAGATCCAGCAACTTGAAAGAGTTGCTTTCAGATTCCTGCGATTGCAGTGCGAATGATTCTGGGGGCTCCGAATTTAGAGAATAGTTTCGCAAGTCAATCGCCTTCTGGAAGTGAACATCAGAGAGTAATATCGATTAAAGTGAAAAAGGAAGGCTGAAGTTTACATCCTTTGCTGAGGAGTTCTGATGGTTAACAGATTTGTTGCTGAATTCTTTGCATGGGCTTCGCATTCGACCAGAGTTGCCTTCGCATGCACAAATCTTTTTAAATCTGGTCCATTGTGGGTGTTCAGCAATAGCGAGGACGAACAACCAGGATTAAACCCGCTCATTTCATCTCGATATTTGGCGTATCTCCTATTCAGGGAAGTTATTTTTGTGCAATACATGGAGACTTATTTTCGAGGGTATGGTACAATCCTGAACCTCGTACCCCCAAAAAGAACCATTTAGTTAGAGCTTAGTTTTGGTAAATCTATAATGCATTGTGGGGCAAAGACATCGTTTAAGAGTTTGAGATCTCGCCATCTCAAATATCGTACACAAATTTTGGAGGAAGTTGATTTCAGAGCTGAAGAGTGTTAGCCTAAACTTTTCATACATGGTGCTTAACGTGGGTTAGTGGAAGAGTCCATATATTTACTGACCATCATAATTGATTCAATTTGGAAGATAGGATTTCAGTCGATACTCTCTTGAAAGTTCTATAAAGTTATTGCAACTGTAGTATATGCTTATGGGGTCCTTTAATAGTATTTAATTTGTATCATTAAAATGTCACTTTATTTGGAAAGGTAGGTGCTTGTAATCCTTGAAAATTGCGTCAATAAGCAAAGTTTGCTTTCAAAGTCTCAGATGTTACATCTGAATTTAGACGTTAAATCTTACATTGTATGCATTCAACCTCAAACAACCTCAAATCTCAATTCCACTCAACCGTAATACAAAGACAGTCGTCCTTGCAGTATTCATTCGTCAAAGTCATCGTTCTCCTAGTCATCATCACTGTAGGCATCCTCACCACTTGATCTGTATATATTTATTTTCTAAATCCTTTGAAACAGTTTTCCCATTCCCCAAACATTATAAATTCAACCTTGTAGGAGGAGAAAATAAATTGTTTTATCACAATTGGGTCACAATTCTTCTGTACAGGGTCTGAATATTAAATACAAAACCCCCACATTTGACTTGCCATCTATCAAATGCTAGTGTGATGCCTGAATATGAGAAAGAAATCCTTTATTCGTCACATATGAATCTCCATGAAGGGTCCGTGTCAACTACCAACTCTCAAAGTCTTTGACCATGCTCATAGACATCAAGCTTACTTTTTTGACTTAAAAACAAAAAGTTTACACAGAATCAATGTATTCAAAATGTTCAAAAGTGATAATTTGGGAGGCTTTTTATTATTTGATACATGCTATTTTTACAAGAAAATTTGTCCTTTTTAGAAAAATGAGGCAAGGTTTGTTTACTTGATTTTTTTATAAAGGAGGTATTTTTAAAAGAAAATGTGGCAAGGTTCAACAAAACGGCACTAGTGCCAAAAAAAATTAAAGAATTTTTTTTTTTCCATGATTAACTAATTAAGAGGAATAAATAAATAAATAAAATTAAAAATTTTAACTAGTTACCACAAGTAAAGTAAATATCGGAATTGCTTTGTATGCAAAGACGAAAGTAGAGAGGCGTAGACTTTATGAAAAAGTACGTATGAGTAAAGTGTTTTTGGAATGTGTATTAAAAATTTGTCTACATGATTGAAAACACTGATAAATTATCAAAGACGCATGACTGAAAATTCTTTTTCAAAAAGAAAAACAAATAAAAAAAACACGTATATTCACAGTATTTGAATGTGAAAAATGCATTGTAATCAAACATCTGTTCAAGTATGCAAAATCCAATGGACAAATCAAGTTATTGTGAAACATTTCGCCACTCCTAAAGCCAAAATAATCCATTCTAAAGTAATAAAAAGTAAATAAAATAAAATAAAATAAGATATTGAAAATGTGGTTATAAATGGAACATGAAAATTTGAATAAGGGTTTGATTAATACTACAAAACACACGAGAGCATGGTTCAAGTATACGAACCAAGCGGTAAGCATGAGTATGCACAAGTGGTGGGGGAGGGGGGGGGGTGTGTGGTATGCATGCATGGGGCGGGCCAGGAAGCTGTAAGGAAGCAATCTAGACGATTCGTTCTGCCTCCGTCAAGATGCCACGACGAGCGTTCATCCATCCACATATCCATCTATCTGTTCATCCATCAAGGTTTTCATCTATACGTTCATCCATATACCTCCATTTTTTCATCCATCAATATTTTCATCTATATGTTCATCCATTCGTCCGATCCCCTTTGTTCGTCACCCGTCCGTCCGTCCGTCCGTCCGTCGGATCAGCACCTTTTTATCCTGGGCGGCACGCTGGAGGACTGTGGTGGCTTAGTGGCACTCTGTCTGTCTGCGTTGTGGACTGGATCGGTGCTTTGACCCGCGGTGCGAGCGTGGATCGTAGGCGACGGTTTCGAATCTATGAGCTGGATCGGTGTGGTGTAGGCGTCGGCGAGTCGTAGTCGCAAATGTTGTCACCGCTTCGCACGATCGACCACCTGCTCTGGAGCTGATTGGAGGCCGATTATCTGTGGCTGCAGGAATGAGGACGACTGGACAGCGTCTCTACTGCGTGGATGCAGTTGACCGAGGTTTTGTTGTGATTTCTGTGCAAGAATATGCTTGGTTCCCCCATGTTTTTGAGCACATTGTTTATTGATATTGTTTCTGCTTTTTTCTTTCTTTCTTTCTTTTTTATTGCTGGAGCTTATTTTAAGACCTCGGACCGACTTGATATGGACAGTTGTTTACGAACTTGCTAAGATTGCAGGACAGAAGTGAGTTGTCCAAAAAGTGGTGCATGATGTGAGGAAAACTGAGGATGGATTTGAAAATGTGGCATGGAAAGAATCTGTGATTTTCTGTGTTCACTTTGTGGAGACATTTGAGGTCGCACCGTTGTTTTAGAACACTGTTGTTGCAAGGTTTCAATTTGTAAGCTTCTAATGTGTGGTTGTATTTGACTTGAAAATTGATCGTAATAACTGACCTTGTTATCGTTAATGGTTATATCATGTTAGTATTATCATTATTATCATTATTTTATAAATTTTATTATTATTTGATTTAAAAGAATTTCGATTAGTTTTGATGTTTCGAACTGATAGTGTGATCGTTATTCAAAAGTCTTGATTAATGAAGATAATTGAATACTAAACTATCTTGTGTGTGACATCATTAAGATTAAGATGTTTTGAATGGACATTGATATTTTCATAGAGTGCAGTTGATGCACTTACTGCTAAAAATAAATATTTTATATTATCTTTATTACAAATCAGAACATAATTAGTTTAAACATTACAGGTCGATTGATGCCAATGTTTGCTTTTTTAAAATATCCAATAAAATATCATAGTACCTTTTAGTATCATTCCGATCATGGGGAAAAAAAAAATAAAATAAAAGAAAAGTTGACGTTCTCAGTTGTCCTTTTTTAAATTTTAGTTCATTTTTATATATGCATGACTACTCTTACACATTTGATATTAAAAATGATTGTCCACCACAAGATACAATAATTATTTACAGACAGAAATAAAGTGATCCACTTATTGAAATACCATCTAAAGTGATGTAAACGTGACAATATCAAATTCAATATAGGTCGATGATGTGAATCCTTTCAACAAAGATGTGCATGAAGTGAGGAAAACTGAGGGGGGATTTGAAAATGACACATGGAATAAACTTGTGTGATTTTTTCTATGTTCACTTCGTGGAGATATATTTTGAGGTCGCAACGTTACTTTATAAAACTACTAGTACACTAGATTGATGTAAGAACTCGTCATTTCAATACAACCCAGCAAAACACTACAACACAAAAAAAGTAAAAGTAAAAGTAAAAAACAATACAAAAAGTACAGTTTAAGTAGATCCATCTTAAATGAAAATGGTACACATGCTATAAACAAATGCAATGAAACGAATTCATATCTTCACCACCATTCTTACTAATACGAAAGAAGACGCGATCGAGAGTGGAAATAGCGGGAAAAAGGGCGTATGACATGGATTAGGCAGGGCTAGGTCTATCTCGAATAGACGCGTGGTGTCTGTCCCTAATAACGAAGCGCTCACCTCATCGCCCCGGAGTCACCGCGGTGCAGCAGCCACTCTCCCCTCTCATATTTAGACATTACCCGCCTATTTACCATGTCGATGCAACGGTAAAACTGAAAAAATCAACGCAGTCTGAACAGTAACTCGAATAGCAAATGTACGCCGCTGCCAGTTGGTTACGACGAATAAAATGTCGTCCCACCATCCTTCAGTTGCCCTTTGACGGGCTGCGCCTGCATTTGATCATCGATGCTGTGGAATCGACGATGCGTTTGTTTCTATTGTTGGCATCGTTCTGTTGTCCGAGTTGCGCTGCTCGTGATGCAGTCTTCAAGTTGTGGTCCTGTGATGTGGAGTCAATAAACCGCGGTCCTGACAATTCTGATCGATGAGCTGGGGAGGAATAAACGCGCATTGTAGTCGAAGGGGATGGAGTCTTGAGTAAGTACAAAACCTTGCGGAGTTTTTTACTTCCAGAGTTGAAATTTATGGCACCCCTATAGGTTCTCTGTGGAAGTTCCGTGGGGTCACTGGGCTGACGTGACCGAGAAGCTTGGCCAAGTGCGTGCTCGGAGGGCTAGGCTGGTCCCAGGAGCTGGGATGCTATTCTTAGCACAACTAGCCGCTATTGCCGTGGCTTAAATCTTCTCATTGGTTTGAGGCAAGTGTTGGAACTCGCGGGACGGGAGTTTTGGTCCCGAACTAGGGGACCGTTACGAACCGTGGATTGGAGTTCCGCAAGAGGGAAACTGTAATCCTGCCTAATTGACAAATGCGCGTTGTGTAGGTGGAGCCGGGAGAGGTTGTCAATCCTGGTTGAGAAGCTTCGTGCAGTTCAGTGCCGTGCTGATCGGTCCACTGCACAAGAATGTTGAAGAATTAAGGATGAGGTCGGCACAGGTTTCCGGACATCTGCAAAGGGAGATCTCGATTCAAACATTGGAGTAGAACTTGAAGGAACAACTTTTTCTACGCCGTGTTTGCAGGCTGACACTTCGGGACTTCTGGAAGGGTGCACACGACTGATATGGTTGATTCTCTTTGAAAGCTGTGTTAAAGAGTATGCAAGTCTTTCATATGGGGTTTGCGGATTCATCAGATGGAAAAGGAGAGTTCAGCGCTGGGGCAGGTTACAGGAAATAGTTCTTTAGATTGCAGTGCGTGGTCCTATGAGCAGTGGGGCTCAATCAACGAGTATTTACTGCTGGAATCTTTGTTCAGGAAGTTATATTTGTGCGTGAGGACACCAGGGTTTCGCATGTAACGAGTTTGCTCCAAGTTGCCACCATTTAACTTGCCATAGAAGTGCTGGAGTCATGCGTTAGGACAAGGTGGTGTGGAAGATAAAAGCTGGATTTTTCACAGAAGGGAAAGTCTTTTACAGTTTAGGTGTTGGACAAGCAGCAGACAGGATAACATGGCAGGCCGGCCAATGAAAATTTGGTTCAAACGGATTTCTGCATTACTATGCTTGAGCTTGGTTTGGGCGCCGTCTGCGGCGGTCACAGATCCTAACGATGGTAAGCGTCGATTACAGAGATACTACACATTGTAGCTCGGCTGCATGGACGTGGAGAGACTTCTTACTCAGTATTTTATTGGAAATTATCAAGGAAACCTCAACTCAAAGATTATGTTTAAAAATGTGTCGCGAAACAGGAGATTCAAAAAAATTGCTCGAAGTTTCCGCTCGTTGTTTTCCTGGTCTACTTGCCTTACCGCGACAACCATAGTGCACCTAGAATAAACGAAAAACGAAACAGTTGATGTAAGATGAACTCGAGATGGGTGGCTAGTTGATCCGTTCATCTCCATTTCATTGTTAGGATTATTCTTGATTGTGTATATGAGTTTTCTCTCTTTTCTTCTGAGGCAATGGTTTCAACACTAGTGGGAGCCATTTTGGCGCTTGGAGTCTGCGTGGACCGCACTGGCTAGATTTTCTTGTTAGGATTGTAGTGAGGTGATTGTCCTCCTTTGCGATGCTACTACCCAAAGAGTTCGAATTTAGGTTAAGAAACACTTTGCTCCTGATGTATTCAAACTTGAAATAGGAGCTTGTGCACCAGCGCCATGCACACTCTTCAAGGCTTCTTTACGATTGTCCTCTGTTCCCGCGTTCTTTGCAGAATCTGCTCTAAGATTGGGAGTAAGATTGTGCTGGTCTAACACGTATCTGTTCTGTGTGCACACAGCAAGGGTTATGGTAAAATTGCAGCAGACTTGGGGCTCTGTATTGACGACGTGGACTGGAAATGATCCTTGCGGGGACAAATGGGTGGGTACCTTGTGTGACGCCAATACCAATCAAGTGATATACATGTAAGGATCTCTGTCCCTGCTGCTGGAGCGATAGCCTGCTGTAGAAGTGCCACGACACTTGTGTACATGTTGCCGATTTCCAACTTCAGCTATTTCCCGTCTCCAAAGGTTCTGAGATTAGTACTCTTTGCAATACTTTTGTGCAGGACTTTGATAAACTTAGGCCTTGAAGGAGAAATTCCTCCAGAAATTGGATCACTTCCAGCTCTTTCGAATTTGTAAGCGCTCTTTCCTATGTTTCTGGTTACTGTTATCACTGTGAATGTTGTTAACATGACGAAAATAGTTTGGAATAGATAGCGCAGCAATCCTGTAAACGAAGCTTGTGATTTGGTTTGAAGCAGGAGGAATGTGTTACATCGTCTGTGGACTTTCACATTTAGGACAATCCTCATGCTCCGAATTGGGTGTACGCAGAGATCTCTCCTTCAACGATAAATTGAAAGGCTCAATACCTTCTGAACTGGGAAATCTCCAAAACTTAAAACTTCTGTAAGTTCTAGCACCTCGCTGTATGGCTTCAAATTGCAATGAGTGACGTCTCAATATTAGTGTGCTTTGCAGTAATTTAAACGAATTGTGCTACGTTGTTTTTTTTTATTTTTTTCAAATAAAAATTTAAGTAGGTTCGTTTAATAGTGATCAATAATATATATAACAAATTTATAATAATTAAATGCATAATCGCCTGCACCACTGTGCATTCACAAGAAGTATTTAAAACTGAAATTTTTTCCTCTTAAAACAATTGGTTTAAGTAGGACTGTTTTGACCCTACGGTTTGCTTACAGGAGTTTGCAGCAGTGCAGTCTCACAGGGTTCATCCCTGCTTCACTTGGACAGCTGGTGAACTTAACCTACTTGTAAGTTCCAAGCTTGTGATTCCATCAATGAACTTTTTTTGCTCTTACGTGTGTTTATGGAGGCTATTTGGTTAGCTTCTATTCATCAACAAGTTCCATTATCGTAAGCTTGAAAAGGAAAAATATTCTAGCAATTTCATGAAAATTTTACAAGGTTTCAAGTGCTGCAAGCCTCTGAGTATACTGTGAATTTCTTACTCAAATAGTGTGTTCTAAGCATGTGAAATCAACGAGTATTTATGGTTGTGTTGTGCAGGGCTTTGAATGGCAATAAGCTAACTGGACCTATTCCATCTGCTCTTGGCGCACTTTCCAAGTTGAAGTGGTTCGATGTCGCTTACAACCGCTTATCGGGGTCTTTACCCGTCTCATCAAACAATGCAGCTAAATTGGGTCTCGACACGTGGCCAGTCATTCAGCACTAGTAAGACACCTCAAATTTTTATGAGGGTTTTATTAAGTTATTCTTTTTACTTGACATATGAAGCATTGGTTTCTTTGTTACTTGGAGCTTACTGTTTGTCGTGATGCTTGTCTTACAGCCATCTAAATAACAATGAGTTTTCTGGCTCCATTCCTCCTGAACTTGGCGGAGCTACTGAATGCCTGCACTTGTGAGTTTATATCACGCTGTTGCTCATGTTTCACATGTCCTACACACCCTTAACATGACAATAGGAATATTTCTAATACGACTTGAAAGTGTCCTGCATTACTTTAACACGCTCACCTTACCTAGATCACTTCTTGGGGTCCTGTTTTTTTTTGGTGCAGCTAATGAGTTCTGCTCATTCCTGGTGGCGCTTTTTAGGTCTCTGAAGAAAAGCATAAGCAGAGTTTGAACTCATTTATTTTGACATGTGCAGGCTACTTGAGTATAATCAATTCACTGGAACGATTCCTGATACACTTGGAAATATGAAAAGCCTTCAGATCTTGTAAGCCTCGGTCTTCTATGTTGTGTGTAGATAAGCTTTGGGTTTACTTTTTTTGTGATTTGCCTTTTAGAACTTCCTTAGCTAGTTGGCTGTAATTCTATATGAGGCTTAAACTCGTCTTGAATTTTCGCAACAGGAGTCTTCATTACAATCAGCTGTCGGGTCCTATCCCCCAGAGCTTGAACAAAATCGTCTCGAATGGCACGGCTTACCTCGGGTTGCATCAAATGTAGGTTTTAATCGTTGTAAATCCATTTGATGGAATGTTATGGCTTTATTTTTGTACCTTAAGGACGTCTTGTCTAAATTAATGATGCATCGAATATTTCACAACTTAGATTATTTTTTGAATTGGAAGTCAAGTTGAATTATCTATTAAAAGATGCAGAAGATCACATTAACAAGGAAGGTGCAGGTATGTCTTACATTGTCTGGATGGTATTTGCGGATGCATTCAACCATGAAGGAAATGGCTGTGGGTTAAAAGTATTATTGCTGAAATCACTGCAGAACAGAGCGTTGCAAATGTTATGCAAAAGAAAAACAAAAAATGTTATTCCTTAGGGCAACTTGTTCTTACTTGGAGAATCTTTCTATGGTTTGGAACACCCAACACTTTCTTTACTGAGTTGTAGTCCCTTTGTGATTCTCACTACTGATGTGCTGGATTGCGTTCTGAATGCGTTGACTATGATCTTGTCACTAGGCGTGTGAACAATAACATGCTCACTGGAGTTGTGCCTGTTTTGGATGCACTTGACAGCCTTGAATTTGTGTAAGAAATCTTTTCCATATGACTCAAGTATCCTAGTTTTAGTTGTGACAATATGCTTTCCTCTTTCCGTTGTGTCTTGCATTTCAAGTTCACCAAATTGAGCTTTGGTTGGTGTTTCACCCAGAAGGTTGCACGGTTGTGTGCCCTAAGTAATAACATTTTTTGTTTTTCTTTTGCGTAACATTTGCAACGCTCTGTTCTGCAGTGATTTCAGCAATAATACTTTTGACCCACAGCCATTTCCTTCATGGTTGAATGCATCCGCAAATACCATCCAGACAATGTAAGACACACCTGCACCTTCCTTGTTAATGTGATCTTCTGCATCTTTTAATAGATAATTTTAATGTATTGTCTGGCCATTCTTCCTCTGTCATGCCGTTGGATGGATCTAGGAACCTTTCTGTACGCCGGCTGAGTTGTATTTAACTGGGATAATTTTCTGGCGTGTGCTGTGGATTACAGACTAGTTGAATTTTCCAACCTGATCGGCCCATTGCCTTCAGATATTCTGAGCTATCCCTCGCTACAGGGGCTGTAAGTGTTCCTGTGCTTCCGCAACAGTTGTTTCTCTTTAAGTTTGTTGAGTTTTTCATTTGAATTACATGCGAATTTCTAGGCATTTCCATTGGTCATAGCCTGATGGATCACTATACGGTTCATTTTGTGAATAGGTACGCTAAAAATAATCAACTAAACGGCACCTTGAATATTCCATCTACGCTGGGACGTAGACTGCGAGTCGTCTCTCTCGAGAACAACAAGCTCGACCAACTAACCTTTGCGACTAATGCTAATTTACCAAATATTTCGTGAGTTTATTTAACGCGTTGATACATCTGCAGTTTTTTTACATCTATGATGTGTTGTGTTAGTGTGCTTCTTCAGTGCAAAAGAGTCAGTATGTATAATCTGAGAATGTGTTCTGTCTTTATGTTCCACATGAAGCTGCTTCGGCTTTGCTCGACTTTGCTTCTTCTCTGTTTCTCCTCTGCTGTGGTTATTCCATTTTCCTGGTTTGGTTTTCAGTTTTGAAACACCCATTTCTGCTTTCATGTCCCATATCTTCTGGGTGTTCATGAATGTTGTATTTTGCAGGTTGAATGGTAATCCGACATGTTCAGGTACAGGGCTTGTAACTGCAGGTCCACTTTTATGCGGAACCGTGGTTCCACCAGCAACCCTGTGGAATTCCCCTCTGGTAGCTAGCAGTACATGCCCCGTTTGCGATGATCCATTGCTCACCTCAAATCCTTATACCTGTCGTTGCAGTAAACCTCTTATCGTTTCGCTTGAAATCCGAGCATTTACTGCGCCCACGATCAATGATACAGATTTGTGGGAAAAGATGAGAAATCAAACATATTCCTCAAAAAACATTACAACTTTCTTTAAGATAGACCAGATTTGGGTCAGAGATGCGTCCATTAACAACGAGAAAAAAGTTCTCGTCAGAATATATTTCTTCCCTCTTATTGGTGAAACCATAGATGAGGTCACCGAAACAATAATCAAGGTAGCTTTCACTCAACAATTGGTTTCATACACCAGTCCTTTCAAGCCGGAGATGGTTAAAAGCATCATAAATTCCGGAGGTACGTTCTGAAAAACCTTGTATAGTATGCACTGAATTTATTTGAATCCCGTTACCTAACTTTAACATTGTTCTTTCATTAATCGTTTGTGAAGGTGTATTTTAAAGGTCCTAATGTCCCTGCCTGATTTTTGGTGATGCAGCGATATCTTCTCATGGTTCCCATGGTTTCCCGAAAGCGGCTATAATTGGGATTGCTGTGGGGGCCGGAGGTTTGCTGGTCCTCATTGCATTCTTAGTCTTCGTGGCCGTAAAGCTTAAACGCAGAGCTGAGGAAGAACGCAAGAAGAATCCTTTCGGTAAAGAAAGTTCTAAGTAATTGTCAGGTGTTCACATTCACACAGATATATATATATATATATATATATATATATATATATATATATATATATAATTCTTGTTAAGGTTGAACGAGGAATTGAGTTTCGAGTTCCTTTGTCTGCAGCTGATTGGGAGAAAGCTCAAGATGGAGATGCACCCAAACTCAAAGGAGCCCGCTGGTTCACTTTTGACGATATTAAGATGATGACGAATAACTTTAATGAAGATAATGTACTTGGAGAGGGTGGTTATGGCAAGGTATGAGACACTTCAATAGCGTAGAACCCTTTTATTCTGTGCAAATCAATAGTGAATCAAGTCAAGCTTTTTCGGACTAAGTTGTGTTCTTGTAGCTCACATCATGCTATGCTAACGTCATTCATGCACTTACGTCCGGTGGCTGTGGTTGCTAACGTATTCGAGCAGGTATACAAGGCCATTGAGGCAGGCACAGGAGCGACATTTGCAGTGAAAAGGGCACAAGAAGGATCCAAACAAGGCGCCCTCGAGTTCAAGAATGAAATAGAGCTCTTATCCCGGGTTCACCACAACAATCTGGTAGGACTAGTGGGGTTCTGCTACCAGAAGGGAGAGCAGATGCTTGTGTATGAGTACATGCCCAACGGCACATTGACACAAAACCTTCGTGGTAAGCAGTAGACCGGAAAGAACAGGACCCTATTGTAAATATTATCGTCGTATTTGACTAAGGTTGCTTTGTCGATCACACAAACGTGGACAAGATGCTGCAAGAGCCATGGATGAAATTTCTGTCGAATCTTTGAATGTATTGAAGCGAGAAAAGGGGTTTCGAAACTGTCATTTGTGTACATTTATGTTTTCAGGCTCGAAGGCGGATTGGCCCTTGGACTGGGACAGAAGGCTCTTGATTGCGTTGGGCGCAGCCCGAGGCTTGGCCTACTTGCACGACAATGCAGATCCACCCATCATTCACCGAGACGTGAAGTCATGTAACATACTGCTAGACAAGAAGATGAATGCAAAGGTCGCTGACTTCGGCATGTCTTTGTTAGTGCCTGACGAGAAAGACGAGAAAACCCGCAAGGTCAAAGGCACTATGGTGAGTTTCTCAAAAAAAGCTTCTGTGGTTCACAAGGTTCGCTTTCTAAGCCCCTCATGCAACTCACACATTGTTGGGTAATTCCTGCATATTGACACACCGTGTGGTGGATTCTCAGGGCTATTTGGACCCGGAGTACTACTTGACGAGTCATTTGTCAACCAAGAGCGATGTCTACAGCTTCGGGGTGGTATTACTGGAGCTTTTCACTGGCAAGGCTCCGATCAGTCACGGCACTCACATAGTGAAGACCGTAAGGAACTTGTGGGACAGTGCAGGTATTGCAGGCGTGAGGAGGACCCTGGACCCGATCCTGGACGGCACGTCCATGGACGAGCTGGAGAAGTTTGTGAGGATTGCCCTGGTATGCACAGAAGACACTGCACTGGAGAGACCAAGCATGCACGAGGTTGTGATGCAGCTGGAGACTCTGGTGGGACCCAAAGCACATATCATGCCCGGCAGTGACAACTCCATAGCCTCCAAGGCGTCCAAGAGCGACACGAGAATACCGCTCCCGATGTCGAACATGATGTCGGACGACTTCGAGCCTGCTTCCGGGCAGTTCTCGCAGGCGTTCTCGCATGGCTCGTCGTCGTCGCATCAGTCGGCGTTCAGGTACAGTGGAGGCTTTGGTCCATCTCCTGTTCAACCGAAGTGAGCTCATGCCACTACGAGGAACAAGAATAGTCGTAGTTGCAGTTTGTAGACTGGTGTTGGCTCAGAAGTCGAGATCGATCATTCTTTTTACTACAGTTTTGTTGCGTGCATTATACGGAGTTTTATTATAGCAATATCAAGTGTGTCTCTAGTTCTGTATAATCGTAGTTTGTTGCTGAAATAGAAAGATTGCTATCGGAGTTTATCAACTTGAGATAGTGATTATCCAGTTCTGCTGTTTTAAGCATTGGTTACCCAAGGTAGCTATCGCGGGTACCAGTCTGCCTGTTTGACATGGAGGGCATGTCGATACAAGAATGACGATATCTCCATTTCTGATCTGAATCAGTGGATTTTTAAAAAAAATAAGAAAAAGAACGTCCAATTCTGCCTAGATGTTGCCTTTGTATTATGTACAGATTCTCATCGTTGAAATGCATTGAAGCATTTCATACAATAAAAATAATAAATAAAATAATCAAACATTTGTCACCACATTTCGTTTCCTTTGTTATCGTTAACCGTGCGATTAATTTATACATACAATATTTTTTAAAGATACAGAGCATAACGAAAAACAAATGGAATAAAAAAGTAAATAATACCGACTGCTAATTTGATCTACCCTAGCCCCTATCAAGCTTTCATTAGCTTCTACTAGAGATCATGATAATACTTGATGTATCATAACCTGGTTAGACATTATTTGGCATGCACACACAAGGTAGCTTGCATGGTAAGAGATTGTGAAGTAAAGATTGAGTGCATAGGTTCCCTCGACATCTTTCACCTCCGATTTGCTTCCTGGATGCGTTGTTACCTCACCATAACTTGCTATGTTATTTACGCTTGGAATGTTAAGAACGAGCGTAACAGTACAGCAGTTGAAAAATTCGCTTATCTGGCGAGAAGTAAATAATCTCAGTAGTTCAGAAAGCGCCCAATTATCAACAATTTGATGGTGCGCGATATTTCAAAACCTTACCAAATTACTAGACAACGTAAGCCGGTCTAAACTTGAGACCCAGAGTTTCTGGAGCTGTGTCTATCAATCATTTGAAGAAGACTAATCAATCAGTGGAGATTACAGAGAGCGCGACTTGGAGATCAGAGGATGTCCCAGAAAGGTACATTCTGTGAGTGTAAGAATCCTTAGTGCTAACACGCTGCCTTCGACTTCCATCCCGGTAATGGTCCAACACATCATAACAGGAGCTGAAAATGATTTCCCGCTGGATAGGCTCATGCCCATTTAAAAAGTTTCCCATTCGCAGACTCCTCTTCCATGCTTGAATTGGTCCAAGTTGGGGAAAGAGGAATGCTACCACCTCCTTTTCACTAGTTCCACCCTCCTGAATCCCATTGCATCAATAATACACAATCATCAATAAATGTAGCCATGAAGAATAGTCTGCAACCTTAAACTCGAAATAAAATTAAGTGTACCTTCCAATGCCGAGGGGCGCCTTCGACCACCACTCGAGGAACTGGTTTGGATTCTCTCCCAATGTAATTGTCGAGAAATGTCGCGAGTAACCTTGGTGCACCTTTGAGCTTCTGCCCCAGCGACACAGCAAGGAGGACATTTTCTTCAACTTTCTCGAACATGGAGCAAAGATGTAGAAGATCTATGTGTACATCAGAACCCTGGTCTTCTCCTTGTTTCTCTGTCCACCGTCATACATTTACCTCAAAGTTCAGCAGATAAAGCCCATCAATGCATGACCATTGCAAACTGTAAAATCCTTTTGATAATACATAAAACGATTCTAGAACGTAGATAGCAGTAAGAGGTTCTTCTAACCGAGATGACGTGTGTATTACTAAAAACATTAAATCACTTAAAAGTGAAGTACTTTACTTTGCATGTACAAAGATGGGAGAAGAGAGACCATCCTTGCATACAATTCTTCAAATTGCTCAATCAACACTGGTGACACCATGTAATCCGCCAAAGGAGTCCTCAAGCCGTCAGCAACCAGCAGATATGACGTGGTCAACATCTGGGCTAAGAGCTCTTGTGGCCTGATAGTATCCAAGTAGTGTAGTACCTGCAAACGTACAAATGCATAAATTAATGTTCCTAGATAGTTCATATAGGTCCCTACTTATTAGCTGACAACTGAGACATTCTTACCTTTTCTGCTTCGCGCTCATAATCAAAAACAGCCTTATTTAGATCTCTCATTTCCGATTTGTTGCTGGCCCACATTCCCCTCCACCAATTACCAGGTTCGGATCCAAGGTCAGCCATTTCTCTCCTTCCAGAATCTTTGACAGTTTCCTCAACCCCAGCACTACTGCTCACAGATACGGTAGACGAATCTACTCTGTGCTGTGAGGGTTCTGATTGCACAGGCTCTTCAGAGTTGGTATTTGGGTCTACAGCATCAGAAGCCATATATGTTCGATTACTGACATTCTTGACCTGCATAATGCAAAGAATCTATGTAAATGTGCCTTTGTTTACTTCAAATAATGACATCAAAGAATAAAAAAATAACACTAGGTTGTTAAAATCGGAGGAATCATTTATGAATACCAGGTTTTTGAGAACACATACCTGCAATATAACAAGATTAAACTAGCAAGAAACCAAGATACACTAACAGATCTGAAGCCTAAAAGTACTTATCACATCTTTTCATCAAGCTATACATACATCAAGGTGACTACGAGTTACCTTGTTAGTAGGCTCGAGTGACTTGGAAGATGTGCTTGAATGGTCCTTGGGCTTCTTTCGATTGCTAGAGTCTTTGCGCCGAACCTCCTGGGGAGAAAATATCGCATCCATTTCAAGCTGGTCATCGGCTGTGGCTTGCCAGTTCTCTTCTGAACTGCAACATTCCATTCCAAAATAGGTACACATCATAGCAGAAGGATGGAGTTAGAGCGAAACTTTTGCCACAACCTCTAACAACACTTTAAGATGTAGTTTCGTCTTCAGTGGCGAAGGTTTGGGGCTAAAATAGTGTGAAATCGTTGAAGAATACAATTATGCACCGTCAATGACCATTAAGAAATAGCACCCACCTCATTTCATACGGAGAATGATACTCTTGATCTCCATCATCATCAGGGTCCACGTTCAAATGCTTTGTCTCCTCAACTATCTCAACAATGTTTTCTGGTTCAGGCTTATTTCCTTGCGACTCGCCAGTCTGTTCCACCTTAGGTGCGTCCTCTACAACTGTGGATGACTTCTTACCAGCTTTTTGCTGGATACACAATTGAAGCTGCCGAAGTGCAAAGTTGGAACTAATGTTGGTAAAATGAGATTGCAAATGGTAATCAAAAAACTAGGACTGTCTAATAGCTGTCTTGTGCATATGTATATGAAGTACAAGCTGTAAATTCACAAGACTTGGATCGAGACGACGTAGACGACGACAAAGAAAAGAATTAGATGCCGTGTTATACCAATTGCAGTTTCTGATGCATTAAGCAAGTGCTCGGGTCGGGTGTAGCATCTAAGGCCATGCGCGGTAGTCTGTCCCCTTCATCCCAGAAGAGCCTCACTTCTCGAACAAATTCAATCCACAAAACAGCGATTGCTGCATAATTACGCCACAACAGTGAGAATATCTTTCTAGAAAAGAAGAGGGAGAGAACTAAATCTCTCTCATGAAAGTCTTCTATCAGAAAGAAGGCATGTTTCGAAAAGAAATTAAAACAGGGTTGACTTAAAATAAAATGCACAATCCAAGAATCAAGAACAAAGGAAGCGTATATACCTCGAATGTTGCACCCACCGACTTGGAGTGCGTGTAGGCAAAACCGAGAAAAAAGCGAGTCAGGTGGTGACCCTTTCACCCCGTGTGAAAAAGCTTGAGTCATCTCTCCACAACCAGTGACTGTTTGGTCTACAAAACTTCAAACAAAAAAATTAGCCACAAAAAATTCGTTTAGAAAGTGACAACTCATATCACAACAAATAAGACTTTTCATAGACACTACTGTTAAGCTTGATAGCCTTGTCTGATAGCACTCGAGTTGTTGGACCATAAAGCAGATTCAGCTTAGGAGTAGAGCTGAGTCGAAACAAGTTTCAGTTGACAATTCCTCGTCACTCTTTGTCGTGTCAGAAATGTGTGAAGGTCACCTTCTTGAAAGACTTCTTTAAGAACCCGATCCACTTCAAAAGGATCAGGTAGGTCCAATGACTGCGTTATGTGTTGAATATAAGACTTGTCGGCTGCAGCAAATGGAAAACATCATCATGAAAGCAGCCATTTAGCCCACATTCGACCCCACAATTGAAAGTATATGGAGTAAAAGTATGTTGCAGAAGACTAATTAACCGGCACCTAGACTGCGTCTGGATGCAAAGAAGGTATTTTACCAGCAGCGAAGTCCTCAACAACATTCGCCTCACTAGCTAAATGAAATGCAAGAACCAAAGATGGAAGACGCCCCGCAAAGCCCACTGACTCCTCTTTTTCAGGGTCTTTCCTGCACAGAGATTTTCTCCTTCAATCTGGGTCCATTACATTAGCTCTCAAAGAATATACCATGCAAAAGTCCGTTGTATTGCAGGATATCACCTGAACCAAACAACATTGCGCAGGACAGGTGGATCCGTAAGAAAGTGAATTGGGGAACTGATAAGCAGAAATGCAGAAACTCACTCTTTAGGAGTGTCAACTACTGATAGCAGCCATTTATCAGCTTCCAAAGTCGGTCCATTTTCCTGCTCTTCCATCTCTGTGGACATTGTAACTGTCCGTCGCCTCCATATTGCGACAAGCTCAAATCCTGTAACATGCAGACTCCAATCAATTTTTACGTACCGAACACCATACCCTCAAGTACATAGATCATCGTACAGAGACATTTTCGCTCCAAAATACATACCTTTTACGGGATCATCCAATGTGTGCCACTTTGACCAAGGACAGCTAGCATCCCAATTCTTCTTTACAACTTTACGGCCTTCCGCATCCACATCATCATCATTTGGAGGCTTTGATACAGGTGTCCGGTAGGTTAAGCGCATCGAAAATTCCACACTCACACTAGGCGCTAACAAGTCTGATGCCGTTTTGAACGTCTAAAAACACGCCGAGTAAACATAAAGTTCAGCTAGCGATTGTCATAAGAACTCAAGCCTTTCTACTAGACAGAATAACTTCTGCGATATTTTCGAAATGCTCTGAACTATCGAACAGTTTCAAAAACCCTGTGCAAAAGATTTACGATCGATGAGCTCTCAATTTCCAAAAAGCTATACTAGAACACCTACACCAACCACAAGATTAAAGCTCTGGCGAGAGGCCCTTGACGAAAAAAGCAAGTCTGGAAGCAAAAATAAAATGCTGAGGAGACATACCAGCTTTGATACAAAGAGGTCATAGAGGCCCATCAGATGCATGAGTTTCACTGGAACCCAGGATGTGATCCGATCGGCTTCAAATCGAGCGGAATAAGTTTTGGTGCCTAATATACCTTGGTACGCTTTACGCTTAGCTTCATGAACAGGTACAAAGGCTGGTAACTGACTGCAAAAAACTACGACATCATGATAGTGCTTCGCAGAGTTTGGCATCATTCCATATACTAAGACTACTTCAAGCACAACAGTTACTCCAGCAAGAGGATAATGCAAAAAAATATGGCCTTGAAAAGACACTTGTCAGGAGGCAAAATTGCAGCTATCTTCTAGAACATGCCAAAATGGCATGCTCCAACTCTATAACGAAAGCGAAATAGCACTTAAAACATGTAATTTGGAGAGAAGGATGCAGCCAGTTTAGGACCCAACCTGCCGCAACTGGCAAGAGCTACAGTGACCGTACTGAGAAGTAACGAAGCTTCTGATGGCTCCACTCCATTTGTTATATCCAATGGAGAGATTAGCTGTTGCATACAGACCGTCAGGCCTACCTCACGAAAACTTGAAATTACAGAAAATCGTTGTAAGACAACACAAAATCAGAAAAACAAAAACATTGTGTTACTAGAGGAATTGATTTCCTTGACTTGTACTGGCTTAAAGTTTCATATTAAAATTCAACGTCAATGCCAAGGTTGATACGATCCTAAGCATGTCATAAACTTACCAGAAAATCTGTAACGTTGAACCAGACTTGCAGTGGGAGTAAGCCATCTTTCCACTCTTCCCTGTCATCTACACACACCGTTCTGCAATCTTGGTGGTTCATCTTCCAAAACATCTTTAAAGGTAAACCTAAGAAGTAGGCCTTAATCGAACTATCCGTAAAGCTCATTCACGTGATCAGAAATTGTGTCTAACTTATCAACCAATTCAAATACACACAACAGATGTGATTTATATTTTGAACGGAATCATATGATCTCACAGTCATTTCCAAAGAAGAGCCGAAACATCGCTAGTGACATTAACTGCGCTCAAAGCCAGCCAATCTAAGTACTGATAGCACGACTGTAGACGCTCTCTGTACAATCCTAGTGAAACAAAATAACACGCTTTCGCTGCTGAGAAGAGTGGAAACTCGGGCATACCTTCGCTAGTACCCTGGAAGTAGAAATCAAGACGAAAATTGCGGGAATCAAAGGAAAGTTCCTTGCTGACCAAGTACATGTTATCAACTGCTTCAACTTTTTCTGCACCAGCTGCCTGTGCACCACAGCCATATGAATTGTAAAAATATTGTAACGAGAAGGAAATATGTGATTCATCGTCAAGGTACAATTGATTCGGATGCAAGAAATGAAACTGACCAGCAAATCAGGCCTGGGAGCAGACATCCATTCACGGCACGAAGCCTCCACCCCTGCTATGAATCTACAACCACAACCAACCGGAAGACAAGTCTGAAAAGAAGAAGGAAAAAAATAATAATAATAATAAAAAATAAAAAAAGCCTCATCTCCGCCACTTCTCTTGCTAGTTTCTCATTTTGATCATGTTCAATGATCACCAGCACAATATTGTAAAAATTACCTCTCCCAAGAGGATGCAATGGTGAAATCGTCGAATCCCTCCAGCTGCCAACATGCACCACCACTTAAGTAACAATCTGAGGCATAGTGGAATGTTTCATAGCCATCAAGTCACCTTACCACTAGATGCCATTCGAATACATGAACGTTCTTTTGCTTTGAAAAACCATAGCAACGACATTAGCTCATCCCATCCATGCCCAGCTATCACATTCACCAATCTTCCAAGGTCTCCTACGACTTTCGTTGCTTAATCGCGACATAATTAGCCTAACTTTGTATCTGGCTTTGTTGAAAACCAACACCGTAGCCAAGCACCAGGAAATAAATAAGCGAAATTCCTACGCAACTGATGACGATCATCCTTCCAATCAACTCAACCTCAAAGAATTAGGGCAATTTGTCCACATTATTCGCTCAGCACCAAATTCCACAAAAGCGAGACTCATAGCTCACAGATCAGCGCAGTCGGTAGTTTTAAGAATGGTGCAATTACAATTCAGGCTCGAAGCCTATCCAGTAATGCAATTCGCGAAATTTAAAAATCTTAAGACCTTACAAACAGGAGAAGAGATAAAATAAAAATAAAAATAAAATAAAATAAAAAAGCATCGCCGCCTTCAAAATCCAACAACTAAAAGAGGAGATAAATTCATAACTTAAACAGACCGCAGGCAAGAGATCCTCCCTGTGATCGAGAGCGCTTACATCGGGCTCGACAGAGAGATGCTCCGAGTAGAGAGACTGCAGCCTTTTCCCGGATCCTTTGTCATGATCCATGGCTCCTCCTGCATGAGTGAATTGCTCCTCGTCCTTCTCCTCGTCGGGCCAAGGTATGGAATCCCTACGAGGCTCCGAAAACAGACTCGCCCTCGACGATGAGAAGGGTTCTGTTGCGACAATTATCTCTCTCTCGGCTTCGAAATCGGGTCTTCTGTCTCCTAGCCACGTGTTGCGTGACGTGGACAATGCCAACTCATCAAAATTGTCCACAACGGACATTGACGTGGCATTGTGCACCACGGCTGAAAAGATCCATGCAAAATGGGTTAAAGAGCTCAGTCAATGATTTCCAACTACTCTGAAAGTAGAGGAAATACTCAAATGATAGGATCGAAAGAATATGACAGGATTTTTTGTTGTTGTCCTTGGGAGCCGTTGCATTTATATTGAGAAAAATTGAATTTTGAGGCAATTAATTGTAGGGGCAATATCAACCAATGCAAAGTACATGACAAGATATGGTTATTTTGTTGTAACGTTGATCACATGATTAAACATTGACAAACTCAAGCTTTTGTCATTTAATCACAATAAAAGTTGTTCTCTACACATTCTTTTTGTTACTTTTGCTTTTACTCATATATGAAAACCTATTTGTGTACATATAAATATAAGTATATACGTATGTAATTGTTTTTACCATGTATTGATTTTAATTGAATATGATATTATGCTTTCCAGGCTGATAAAGTGCACTAAAATTGCATGTTTTGGATTCTTGCTTCTAGTCTTTACAAATGACATTTTGATACAAAATAAAAGGAAAGAAATAAAACCATTGATATCATGTATGTCTGAGATTTAAAATTATGTATATAGCAGGTTAAACAATAAAATTATTCTACAAAAAATTAATAGAATTGTTAGGATATTTTACCTTCAAAGATGGCTCCTATATAGATAAATTAAAATCACATCAATTTTTGTGAAATTTTATTTTGGATTTATATTAGTTTTAAGAATCAATTATTAAATGTTTATTATAAAAAATAATTGATATAAAAAATACATTAAAAAATAAAAAATGCTACTAATTACACATTAATTTTAATAAAAAATAGACACAATATTTAACTTTAGTATTAAGCTCAACATAAAATCTAAAACAAAGAGGTTATATGGTTGCCTTAATAAAATTTCTAAAATAAAATAAAATAAAAATTTAATAGATAACTCTCTTTTATTGAATAAACACCATCCATGCCATCTACCCCAACATACACATAGTAAAATTCTTATTTACACTAAAATATTTTAGAATAAATTTAAAAAGTTGATAATGCTACACCCCCTTCTCACCTCATGATTCATTTTTGTGCACGTTCCATTTCCCCCTCCCAATTCCCATCCCACATCTCTCGTTCCCGTATCCCGACCCCACCACCGCCAGCCAGGTCCCAACCCCCCCATCCTGTACCAACCGCCCAGTCCCCACCTCGAGCCCACTCTCTCCGACCGGAATCTTGAGAGTCGTCAAGTAGTACCCACAACTGATCCTCAATTGATCCTCGGGATTACTCTCAAGAAGTGGGTCAGGAAGGCAAGACCGTGAGGTCATGCACCCACTACACAAATTTCCAGCACTTCCTTGGTTCCTTCACAAGAACTCATTGCTGGCAATTAGATGGTGAATTCCGAAATCGTCAGCACCATGTACCTTCTCCCATCACATTAATACAATTTCTAGCTGACCATGCACATCCATCAAAACCAAAACCACGCAGTTGTTCTCTACCCCATTCGCACCAATCCAAATCAATCAGCAGATTGCAGCTGAATAAAAAAAATGGAGAGTCGGATTGGCTGCGTTCAGATCAATTCCTGAACGAGCTAGCTGATGACAGCATATCTCGAGGTGATACCCGCACACCCTACCAAGATGATTATTTCCGATGCACTCAAATCATTGCTTCTCCACTTCACAACCTCTCCGCTCATTACCACGACAGAAGAAGCTTTTGCGTTTCTCCTCGACTTATAAAAACCTCACCTGAATCAAACGAATCGATGACTTCATAGAGAGATGCCGAATTGCAGGGGGTCAGAGCTGATCACGAATGGTCCAATGAAGGATGTCAACACTATCGCAACACACCTCAACGCACTCCAGTATCCTAAACCCACTTGTTGCTACAGTGACGCCATCCTACTACACTAGCGCAGAACTACGACATTTTGTGACTTCAAATTTTGCAGCTCTGTTGCCATTCGGAGTTTCTAACCCTGGTCGTGCATATATTCTCCAGCAAAGCAGAGACGAGGAATGAGTAAGCAATACACTCTGATACGCAGCTCCAAACCTGAGCGGTGCGCACTGTGACAGTTCGACATTTCCTTTACCTGAAAAATCACCCCATGTAAGACCAGGTCTCAGTAGATTCACGTTATCTATGGGTTGTGGAGCAGCGATGCAGATGAGACTACATATTCATGGCGTAGTATACATTTCCTTCACTAAAACCCAAGTTGTCATTGAGTGACAAGACTTCGTAGAACACATTGCAAAGGTTATCTAGAAGCGGTGGACCCAGTGTGAGAAGCGGCCACAATCAGGACAGCAGTGCGCATAGTTCTAAAGCAGATTGCAGTGTTTGTTTGCATATAGCGTCAAGTTTTGTGCTGTGGCCATTGTTTCTGATCGAACTAAACTGCAACATCATGTGCTTTCCGTATAGTTGGGGACAAGGAGAGCGGGCACGGGGTGGGGGACATGAAACTTGTACAACTTGAATTATGAGGTGGGAAGGGGGTGTGGCTGTAACAAAGTTGGAGTGTGGCATTAACAAATGCCTAAATTTAGTAAAAATCCGGTAAATAAAATTAAGGAAATCATACCTGGAGCATTTGTTGTAAAACCGTATTTTTATACCTCAAGTAGGAGTGTATTTTTGAAATGGGGGAATATATACTCGCTATAAGCTTCGTGTCACAATCACGCACCCTTAACTTACCTTCAATCCATCATCTGCATAGTTTTCTCATATCCCAACAACGACTCGCGCAGTTAAATTAGGAAAACCTTGCCCTGCAGAATTTTCCTATTTTGCGAGATGGAAGACACCAATTACTGTACATTACGAAACCTCCATAAGGAAATGAAACCCAATCAATCTGGTTTGAACAAACCCCTAGAATTCTGTAGCCAATTTCTCCTCGTCCAGGTCGAAAGCTTTCCGCGCTCGCTTCAGCTCCTCATTCATTGCCAACAGCTCCTTAACCCTAGCAAATTTCCGCGAGTCTTTCCGTACGAGAAACATGACATCCTCCGTTGTGAGCTTCCCCCTCCTTGACGCCACGTTCTGCGACTTGTGCACAGTGTCTGTAATGTAATCGATCAAGATGTCTTCCATCAGGTGTACCGTCTCCGGCATGGGGTCGGGATCATCACCAAACCCATACATCATCAGCCGTAAGTCCTTGTTGAATAGACCACGTTTCCGCTTAAGGGAGCCATCCGTCGCTTGCTGCGCCGCGTTGGCCTTGCCCTTCCCAGCTCCACCACCTCCTGGTCCGCCTTCAGAATTCGCTGCGGGAGTCATCCCCACCATCGCCTCGCTCCCTCCACTCTTCCACCCTTTCAATTTCACGCACCTCTATACCGCTCCAATACTCCTCTCCATCCTCCTAACCTCTTTCGAATCGAAAACCATAATCCCCGAAACAAAAGTAAAAATGAAAACAAAACTAGACTACAAAAACTACAATTCGCTATTGAGCATCAGAGCGTCGACAGCAGATTGCGCACGGTAAACCCTAATTCAAACTTCCGAATGGGGGTCATGTGTTCCAGTGTGAACGCAGCTTTGGAAGAGTCCACAATCACGGGCTGGGTAGGGGTCGTGAGATGCGAAAGAAACCTGCAGGGACCCGTTATTTTACACCTTCAGTTTGTCCATGAGTTGGAATGACAAACGAGTTAAAGCATGTGTTTGTTAAGTCTAATGTTCCAAATTTGTGTTACTTACGAATAATCTTTCTATTTTCAACTACTAATTCATTTAAGTATTAAAAAATACTCAAACATTATAATATTTTTAAAATATTTAGAATTTAAGCATGTTATATAATATTTGATAATATTAATATATATCATAAGATACTGTTAAGGACACAAATCTTGAAGAAAGAAATCTTTAATACACTCTTGTGTCATTGAAAAGAACTAAAAAGTCACTCAAAGATAGTATAATATTGAATTAGAATAGCTATTGTAAAAAACAAGAAGACTAGAAAGTGTTAGGGACATAGTCCTTAGAACCTTCTAAAGACAAGTTTCTAGAACCTTCTAGAGACAAGTTTCTAAAACCTTCTAGAAGCAAGTCTCTAGAACCTTCTAGAAGCTTCTTAGTTGGTAGAAGATGTTAGGGACATAGTCTTTAGAACCTTCTAGAGATAAGTTTTTAGAACCTTCTAGAAGTAAGTCTTTGGAACCTTCTAGAAGCTTCATAGTTGGTAGAAGTTGCTTGAGAAGCTTCCTAAATAGGAGTATATATTGGAATCGAGGCTGAAGAGTTCTTCAGTCTCGACAACACATCTCTTGGAGCTCAAGCTCACTTCTCTGGTGTTGTTCTTGTATTCATCTGATTAATCTAGTTCTTGCCAGTTCTTCTTGAACTTCTTGTTAGATCTCGAGCTTGTATTTCTGTATCCGTGACAGTTTGTCGAGACTTCACTCATCTCAGATATTAGAGCTAGTTTCTTCCTCGTTAGAGTGCGGATTATCCCTCTGCTTGGAAGTATACTAGCATTTTAGAGGTTGCGGATTACCCTCCTCTAAATTGATACTTCTTTTGTTACAATATTGGAGTCTTATTCTTCTTGGAGAGAGTGGATTACCTCTTTACTTGAAGCTCTTAAGGCATTTTAGAGGTTGCGGAGTACCCTCCTCTAAACCAATATTGTCTTCTTGTAGAGTCATTTCTGTCCTTCTCTTAGAATGGCCGGAAGCCAAGACATTAATATGATAGAAAGTTCGGAGTCCAAGTTAGATTCTATCATGAATGCCCTTGCTACGTTATCGCAAAGAATTGCAGAGATTGAAGGAGTCGTGGCAAGGCTTCATAATGATGGAGCATCTGGGATGGCACAATCTAGGTTGCACCAGCCTCAAACTTCTACACTTGGAGAAGCAACTTTGCCTCAGGTTCGACAAGCACCGCTGGTTCTACAACATAAAGAGCACCGAGTTAGCCTTTCGGACAAGTTCGATGGTACACATTTCAAGTTTCGAGGATTCGACAATCAAATCAGGTTGATAACAGTTTTATAGCCCGAACGCTATCCAACGGAGGAGTCACATGTTCGGCTTGTTGGAACCTTATTTACAAGGCAAGCTCTATCATAGTTTGCTCATTTGTTTGAGAAATGATCGTCCATACTAAACAACTTTGAAACCTTTTTGGAGGCGTTTGCAAAAGCATTTGGTGAACAAGACAAGGTTTGATGGGCTACAACAAAGATTCGGTCACTACGACAAGAGATGCGCTCTACATCAGTCTATGCATCGGACTTCAGGCAAGTAGTATGCGACATCAATTGGGATGAAGAAGCGTTGATGAGTCAATTCTATTGGGATTTAAGTGACGATGTGAAAGATTTGATGTTAATTCTTTCTGATCCGCAAACACTCAACGAAGCTATTAGCCAAGTTGTGAAGTGCGATAATCGCCTATTCCAACGCCACCAAGACCAACGTTCAAGATAACATACGGTTCGCCACGCCCCAACTATGTCGACAAGCAACGTGAATTCACATTCAGAGGTAGAAGACATGCAAATTGATGTGGTACGTGTCAAATCCCTTACTCTAGAAGAAAAAAGCGGCGCATGGAGGAAGGTCTATACTTATATTATGGTGAAGAAGGCCACAAAGTTGGAAACTGCCCCAAGAAGCAAAATTGACGTATTGTCAAGACTAGGGGCACGTTTGTTCAGGAAAATGAGGATGCCCAGCCACAATAGGAACCATGCGGCTGGACAGTGAAATATCGCAACAACAAACAGGTTCCTTTCTTTCTTCTCAACCTGCCCTTTGCTTTACAATCCCTTTGCTTATTGGCCCTCAGAAACTGAGAACCTTAGCATTATTAGATTTAGGAGCATCTGCTTGTTTCTTAGACGAAGAATTTACGAAGCGTCATAAGATCCCTTTAGTACAAAAATCCAAACCTGTTCATGTTGAAGTCATAGATGGGCGACCTTTATTGTCTGGTAGTATCACCCATGAATTAGAACCTATAGAAGTGACATTTAAGGACCATAGTAGTCATATTATTTTCAATATTATTAGAACCCCATCAAATCCTATTATTCTTGGTCTTTCCTGGTTGGAAAAGCATAACCCATCCATTGATTAGAGGTTGCGAAAGATGACCTTTCCTACAAAACCACCCAAGAGCAAGCTTAGTAGAAAACCCCGAATAGAGAAAACTTTATTCATTGGAGCAAGAGCATTTATAAGATCATCCAAGGAAGGCACACTGTTTGTCATTTATGCGGCTCCAACTACTGGGGAGAAGATCTCGACAGCAAGTATACCGGAGCAATATAAGGATTTTAAAGACGTGTTTCAAAAGAAAAATGCCGACATGCTACCAGAACACCGACCATATGATTGCGCCATAGACTTGCATGAAGGAGCACAACTACCTTTTGGCCCAATCTACAATCTATCGCAGACAGAGTTGGCGGAGTTGCGAAAATACATCGATGAGAATCTAGCCAAGAACTTCATCCGTCATTCAAAATCATCAACTGGAACACCCATCTTATTTGTGAAGAAGGAAGATAGCTCGTTGCGGATGTGCGTGGACTATCAAAGCCTCAACAAAGTAACAAAGAAGAATCGTTACCCGTTACCCTTGATTTCTGGTCTCTTAGAACAACTTGGATGTGCAAGGATCTTTATAAAAATTGATCTAAGGGGAGCTTACAACCTCGTACAAATCAAGGAAGGAGATGAGTGGAAGAAAACATTCCGTACAATGTATGGCCATTTTGAGTATAATATTATGCCCTTTGGTCTTACCAATGCTCCAGCGGTCTTTCAACATATGATGAATGACATTTTCCAAGAGCACCTTGACGATTTTGTTATCATCTATTTGGATGATATTTTGATATTCTCCAAAAACGAGGAAGAGCATGAAAAGCACATTTGTTTGGTCTTAGAGAAACTATGCGAGCGCGGACTATATGCCAAGTTGGAGAAGTATTTATTTCACCAAATAGAAATGGAGTTTCTGGGGTTCATTGCGACTACGAAAGGCTTGAAGATGGACCCCAAGAAGGTGGAAGCAATCGTGTCCTGGGAGGTTCCAAAGACGGTTAGAGACATATAATGCTTTCTTGGTTTTGCCAACTTCTATCAGATCTTCATCAAGAATTACTCTCAAATTGCTACTCCTCTCACTTGGTTGATGTGCAAGGATAAGCTGGAATGGGGACCTCTAGCGGAGAAGGCATTTCAAGACCAGAAGAGGGCATTTACTACGGCTCCAATCTTGGTTCATCCAGACTTTACAAATACCTTTTATTTAGAAACTGATGCTACGGATTTTGCTTTGGGAGCTGTACTTTCATAAATGGGAGAAGACAAGAAGCTCCATCTGGTTGCATTCTATTCTCGAAAGTTCTGTGCTGCTGAAATCAATTATGAGATCCACAATAAGGAACTTCTTGCTATAGTGGATTCTTTCCAAGAATGGCGTCACTTTCTTGAAGGAGCGGCACATCCAGTGATCATATACATAGATCACAAGAATTTGGAGTATTTCATGTCGGCTCGAGTTCTAAATCGATGTCAAGCTCAGTGGAGTATGTTGCTACTTAGATTTGATTTTGTTATCACTTATCGACCTGGAAAGCAACAAGGATTATCTGATGCCTTATCGAGGAGATCATATCTTGTATCAAAGGCTGGAGAAGCAACGTTTGATCAACAATGTATGACGTTGTTGAAGCCAGAGTAATTTCAAATTTGTTCTACTATTGTGCCAATTGATGCTGACTTCCTGAATCAGGTACCTACCGTGACCATTGAAGATTCAGTAGCCATTGGTATTAAGTAGCGTGCCAATGACGACAAGTTCAAGGTGGAGGGAGATCTTTTATACTTTGAGGAGCAGTTGTATATCCCAAAAGGACCAGCATGACTCCGAGTTCTTCAATCTCACGACGATTTTCTAGGTGCGGGACATTTTGGATTCAACAAGAACTTGGAGCTTATTTCTCGAGATTTTTGGTGGCCCCAAATGTGGAAGGATGTGAAAGATTTTGTCCTCTCCTGCGACATCTGTTCAAGATCCAAGAATCCTCGACATCGCCTCTATAGACTCCTACAGCCATTGACGATTCCACGTCGACCATGGTCTTCAGTTTCCATGGACTTTATCACGGACCTGCCATCATCGAACTCATTTGATAGCATCTTTGTCATAGTAGATCAGCTTACAAAGATGGCGCACTTTGTCCCTTGTAAGAAGACATCGTCTAGTGAAGTCACGATAAGGCTCTTTCTCGATAATGTATATCGATATTATGGACTACCAGATGATATCGTATTAGATCGAGAAACCCAGTTCATATCAAAGTTTTGGAGATCTCTTTTTAAGATACCGAAGGTGGATATCAAGCTTTCTTCGACTTTTCATCCTCAAACTGACGGCCAAACGAAACGGGTGAACCAAGTCTTGGAACAATACTTACGATACAGTATCAACTATTAGCAAGAGGATTGGATCACATATCTGCCGCTAGCCGAGTTTGCATATAAC